CAACACAGGTGTGATGCTGAAGATCATTAGCATCTGAACCCGTGATCAGCAGATCCTCACAAACCCAAGGGATTTAACTCTGAACTGCAAATTACTGCCAATTGCAAACTCTTCTTTTTATGAACTATCAGAAAAATAAATGAAAGGCTGTACTTACTGACAAAAGGTTTCTTCGTCTCTTGTCGTAACTGCCACCCAGACGTCACGTGACTCATCTCCGAGGTCACAAGTTCATCACAGTTCTCCACGGCATCATAGAACTTGGCCACCTTGGCCATGTCGATCGTCTGCTCCTGGATGATGGTGGAGTGGGACAAGGTGAACGATGGCGTGTTCCAGGGTGCCCGGATGGAGAGCTGCTCGCAGTTGGTGGAGATGAATCTGTTGGCACACTCCTCCCATCTCTTCACCTTCCTCGTCTTAACGTCGACGACCGCCCACTTCCACTGGTAGTCACGGTGGACGTCCAGTAGAGTATTTGCCTGAAGTAGAATATGTAAGGAATTATGATAGTGACAACATTACGGGAGGTTTCTAACTCAAACTTGGGTGAATTTTCTCTGCGAAAACGATTTGTATTTATTGGGTCTCTTAGTTTGAATTAAATCACCATGCATTACAACAAACGTTATGTTCCACTAGTGTACCTACCCGCCAGTGGCCAGATTTCTTTGGGTACTCGTGAGCCATCAATGCTTTCTTGGACTTCCAAGATCCAAGACATGGCTCCGAGCCGACAACAGCGAGGGCTTCCCCTGCCTGACAGTAGTAGTGAGTCTCCAGCTTCAGGGCGCAGGTCTGGGATACAAAATAGTTGGGGTCCCGTCCCCAAGATGCATACATCACCCCTTCGTGGTAGGCCAGTCGCGTCCTGAAATAACAGATATGTTCATTCCAATAAACAACAGTTTGTCTCTTTGTCACCTCTCTTTTATAAAGTGATATTTTGTGTAAATTAAATTCAATGAAAAGTATTTGCTTCATTTGACTTTCTTCAATTTAAACGTCAGTGCAAAAGAATAGGTGGCACCAGTTATTCACAACATTTGCCTAAAATGGAAGTATATTTGCGTGACGCTGCAAATCAAGGGTTTCTCAAATTTCAACAAACGAAACATACCATTGCTGAAAATGGATTTCCATTACCTTCTGTCCTGTGCGGGATCCCAGAAGAGGACTTTCTTGTCATCAGCCACCAGCCACGACCATTCAAAGGACGAGGACACCGGAAGTTCAGCTCTGACCTCCCACACATCACTTTCAGAAGAGGAAGCTTTGGCAGTCAGAAGTTTCTCAAGTTTCCACCGGCCGAGCTCGCGGATGGAGCCGAGGAGGGCAACATTGACAGCGTTTCTTCTGCCTTCTTCGTCTTTAAGACATCTTTCAACATAGTCTGGTAGATGGTACAGCTTGAATACAACTTTCACCAAGTCCGGAGCCAATTTTAACTCACGGGTTAACTTCAGAGTTCAAAGAGAGAGAGACGTATTTCTGTGACTTGACGCAAGCGCTGTGTCTCCAGGAATGAGAATCACTAAGGTGTGATTGTGACGTCATAGACGGGGTCACATGACGTTATTGGCTATGATATGGCCGTCAAACGTCACAGACAGAATCTGTGATGTCTCAGACAATGGTACACCTTCTCGGATGCGCTCGGATTGTCATATAACCTGTACACTAGCATTGACCTGATACACTTGGACTCATGTTTTACTGTTTTTACTGTCGTTCTGACTTCCTTGATGGGCATTTTTCAAGCTGGGGTGATGAAGAATGATGATACTTTTTATGGGTATGCAACTTCTTTATTCTGACGTTATTTCTTTGTTCTTTGTATGCAATGGGCTATTCACAATGTTAGCCAAATAGCTATCTTGGACAAAAATCAGTAAATGAATAAGGTCCGTCCGACCGCCCGAGACGGTCTAGATTTCTGACGGACGGTCTAAATTTACAGCTAGCCAGCCCGATGGTCTGGTAAATTTTTTAGATGTTCCATACATTTGAGTAAATTCACAATATTTGGTCTGGTTAAATCCATTATGGGCTGGTAACATTTTGAAGTTACCAGCCCTGATGTCTGGCTGGATTTTTGGCTTATTTCATACACTGATAAAATATTCACAATTAACAGGATATTGACTTTATCTTGTTTTTGATTTTTGCCCCTTTACTCTGACATATGCAGTAAAGAGTTCATGTGGAGTTTTTCCCCGTCTGTATATCAGCCATGAATCCAAGACCTCAGAGCTGGTAATTATAATATAGTAAACACCATCAAGTGGAAGCTATCACATTGTACAGGTCCCATCTCTAGAGCAGGTTGTCAAGGACGCCAGATTGATGTCATTTAACGCGATGATCTCTGACTGCGGCGTTCAAAATTTGCCCGCTCACTCAATCATCATAATTCGTATGCTTATAGAGCTTACATATCAGAAGAATGAACGCGTAAGATATATTACCGCCGCATTTGACGACATTTTAGCCACCACGAAGTGACCTGGGAGGACAGATCAAAATGGCTGAAAGAGGATGAGTGTTGTGAAACCAAGTATAGCGGGCAATCTGCTCCCGTCGACATCTTTGTATAATTAAAATGACACACGTGATATGGTTGACGTATTGCTCAAAGCCGCGTTAAGTTACTCTGGTTGCAGAGAGAGAGATAGTCTGTCTCACAGTCCCTGAACCACATTAATTTCCCTACTGCCAAGCCCTCTCTGCAATGCTAAAGCCCTAAATAAAGCAAGTCTAGATTTCCTCAGGTTCAGGTTCTGAATCTCTGGTCTCCCTAGGGCTCCTTTTCAATATAAATGGGCTTGTTTGTTACTATCAAAATTATATATATTCAGAGACTAAGCCTTAGTCTAAGAGAGAGAGAGAGAGAGAGAGAGAGAGAGAGAGAGAGAGAGAGAGAGAGAGAGAGAGAGAGAGTTTAATACTTAATACACATGTACTTTGTGGGGAGGGAGAGAGAGAAGGGGCGGGGTCATCAGTTTATTACACATGTACTAAGGGAGGGAGAGAGAGTATGGGGTTTTATCGATCTGCCCTTGGTCACCCGCCAGTGTTTTCCGATATATGATACCTGGTGGCCCAAACAAATGTTAATAATGTCGTACATATGTGTACATAATATGTAATAATGTAAGTTGAACAGGCTGGGTGAACTGCAGCCTGACACACATCACCGCCACCAAGGAGGGTCATACTCACAAAAGATAGTAAATATAGACCCGCCTTATCGCATTTTGCGATTAAACCATTTTGATAATTATGAACCCTTTAACAGCAACAAAAATAGCTTTTAAAGTTTACCGCGGGGTAACTCACTGTCTCAGGAATTTTTATTCGAATCGTTGAAAAAAAACCCGTTTCTTTGTCTACAAACTTACCTATATTGATGTATACCAACCTAGTTATTACCGAGTATCTAATTACACGGGGACAATGCCACAGTATGACGTCAGCTGCTTAATTAAACCAGCTAGAGCTAGGCTTGGAATAACCGATAAGTATGGGAAATTTTGTGACTACCATTCTTCAGTTTAAGTACAGTTATTCCAGAAGTACAAAGGTCAAATAAAATTGGACGACTTTTAGATAAGAGATAAGGGACCGTTCATAATTTATGGCTAGGGGAGGTGATGATGATTTTAGAGAGAGAGAGAGAGAGAGAGAGAGTGTGTGTGTGTGTGTGTGTGTGTCCAACCCATTTTGTTCTGGGGAGCTAGGGGGTGGGGCGTGGTGTCAGCAATTTTGTACATGACATGCAGGGGGGTCACTTATTTATACATAAATGTTAGAGGGGTCATTCATATTGTACATGCTTCTCCATAAAAATCATCATCATCACCCCCACCCCCCACCCACCTTAGCCAAACATTTTGAAGGAATTATAAGGGCTTTTATATAAATATGTTCAAGTTTAAAAACAGAAACATGACCTCATTCCTTTCTTTGGAAAGGTGAGTGAGTTAAGTATTACGCCGCATTTAGCGATATTCCAGCAATGTCACGGCGGGGGACACCAGAAATGGGCTTCACACATTGTACCCATGTGGGGAATCGAACCCGGATCTTCGGCGTGACGAGTGAACACTTTAACCACTAGGCAACTCAACTTCCCCACAAATTGTGTGGATCACATGTGCTACTGGTAGGGCAGGACGTGCTTATTATTTTCGCAAACACATGTCATCACTTTCATTCACTATTCTAGTCCAATGATTATGTATGTTATAATGGTTTTGAAAAACGAAAAGGTCTTCCACGACCGAAAACCGGATTCGTCTATGTCGTAAAACATAATTTACTCACAGATTCATTACTCTTTCGGGAACACTATTGTACATAGACAGTGGAGGGTAAAACGCCACCCTCCTTGTAAATGGAACGCCAGGAACCGCTTCTGGGTAATATATTTGGTGAAACCGGAGCGAAAATGGTTGTGAGATGCCGAATCTGGGATCAGCCAGTCCGAAAATAACTACTAGCTGGGCACGCATCACTGCATTGCGAATTGTTGTGCCCCAGATTACTGTACCACCCCATTCTCATTAAATGCATAATTTTATTGCGCGTTGTTATTATAGTGACACATATTGATGAGACTGGTGCCTCCCACACTTCTCATTTATCATGTAACCTTGCATCGCACAATAACGATGTACATATCACTGTCAACTTTACCTGGATCTAAGCCCAGTTTCTTTATTCCCCTCTGTATACACACACTACTTTTACCTTAATGTTGTCAGTAGGTATGACGGTTCAGTATTTGACAAGGTCCGCCATGTTGGGGATCGCTCTAATTTTACGGGAACGATTTATTTATGGTGGATAGTCACCAGCAGATGTGACATAAAATCATTAAATTTTGCACTTCATTTTTACTGAACAGGTGCCTATCACTTGATACACAATTGCGGGCTGCCCACTACAGTTTTCGGGTAATAAGTGTGTGGTCGCATAGAATATATTACAAGGTATTTTTAATACACAGAACGAGTTTGCTATGTTTACAAGCCGCTGATTGAATAGGAATGACTATCATGCGGCTCGCCTTCTATTCGCGATTGTCCACTAAAGCGTCGTCTGCAGTCAATAGCCAAGCAGACGATAATGCACACGCTCTCGAGGGAAGCATTAGCAGACGACTTCCGGAAAAGTCCATAGAGATGTCTAAGCGCCAGTAGACTGTATCAAAGGTGTATATGACAGAGCATGTGGAACACACGACAGAGTACACGAAGAGTATACGTGCCGAGTGACTGGAAGTTTATACCATGAAGCTATTTCAACCCGGTTGAAAATTCTGTTTCTACCATACCTGAGATCGTTTGAAGACAATGTAAGTTTTATGAATAAGGTTGCATCGACCTTGGGGGATGTTAGTCTGTTGATAGAGATGTGTCATCTGGATATTTGAACAAAAGTCGGTATTCGTCATAATGAGATAAATGAACATTTGTTATTGAACCTTTCGGGTATTGTTCTCAGAGAACCGATGCCCTACTGTAGTTGACTGTAGAACACACCAAACCATTACATTATATCAAGGTATTGTGTTGGAAATACCTTCTGTAACAAAAGATGGGAGCCAACGGCTTTTGCTGTGAATGTGAATATTTCATGTGTCCACAATGACAACGTCTATTATATACATGCAAATGACCCTTTCCTTGGCGTCCGGTGGAATATATATCTACGAGACACAATAGGTCTTAGAACGTCAATGAGCTCTATTCCACAGGGAGTATTCAAATAAGACCGTCTTCCTTTGACATGATGATACAGCGCTCACAACTATCACGTTACAGTGTTGTGGTCTGGAACTCAGGTATGTGAGTACTGGGCAAGAAGGATACTGTGTGTTGTTGTAGATATATCTGATCTATGAAAGACACTGTGAGAAGTATTAAGGAGTGAAAACCACATTTGTTGCCAATAGTTCGTCCAGGATACCTAGCCATTGATCCCGAACAAGCGTGAGTGACGTTTACCTTAAGGTTTTAGTTACCGTCAACACATAATATCAACGCATTCGATTTTATTCTGGTACTGTTAAACGACGAGATTTAAAACAGTGCTAAAAAGTGACAAAGTAAGAGAAACAATCACTCTGGAGTTGGATCCGACGTAGTTGTGACGATGGAGCCTGGGACGAGACGTCTTGTCATCCTGGTTACAATAAACGTGTTTTACCTATGTATGGGAGGTGTCATCTTCTCCCACCTGGAGGCGGAACCAGAGAGGGCCAGAATGGGCAAGTTACAAAGTCATATTGAAGAATTCATGGGTATGTATGTTCACTTTGATTGTCCATTGTGTAATGTCTTAAAAGTATCCATCGACTGCTAACCACAAGTGCTGCTTAATGCTTAATCCAAAACAGAAGTTATGGTTTTGCAAATGATTAAAAATGGTGATGTAGTTGTGGTAGTTATGAGAATGATGTAAAGTGGAAAAACAGAATTCTTCCGTGACCTATGTCGGTCACATGTTTATATTATTCCAGCTTGCAGATATCAATAGATTACATACTAGATTAGTCGGTTAGTTATTGTGAATCTCGCACTCTTTAACGTGAAGACGATAATGATAACGGTATGGGCGAGTAAGTTTGGACAGACAGTCAACTGACAGAATGTTGTAACACCACCACTAACCATTAACTCCACACAATACGAATCTCTTTTTAAAAAACCCAAAACATCCTCGTGGAACTGCCCTCACCAGTTAAAGTCCTATCTTATTGTAGCAACTAGGGCATACACATTTGTATTGAGGTACCGGAATGGATGGCTTAGAATCATAGTTCTTACAAGCAGTAGCCTATGAAGACCAAACGGCAGGAATACTACTCCATGACAAAGATATATGAGAAATAGTAAGGCTATCAATGTCAACTGATTGATGCATGTACGTCTATATACACATATTACACTGCTGGCAAAAGAATAATACACTTGGAGTTGAGCTAAAACTATAAACGTCATCAAACCATCAGTCGCTGAAATACTCCAACTGAGATATCTTTATCAAGTTCATCGGCACTGAATAACAATTTCTGGTTTGTTTCAGTTTAGCCACCATCACATTGTGTTTACCTTTTTTATCCGACAGGTTACTGTTTAGTTTAGTTATCATATATAGATGACCAGATGGTCAAAGGCAACACAAGATCTATGGTTTGGTAGCATCATCCCCGTGACCAGCTTTGTCACCTTGGGCGTTCTTCCACATTAAATTAATGTGCACTGACGTTAATCACAACTGGCTTCCCATATACCACCAACTCACCTTTAAAACGCTATTAAAGAACAGTTGACAATACTCTGTTCACGCTGTAATCACGTTTATTGGTTATATGTTTACAGTGATCATTGGAGAGTTATTCTGGTACAAAGAGTGACAATTGGCATGGTATACCACACACGTGCATGTCATATATTTCAATGGAACTCCGAGTTATGATATAATCTATATTATTATGATAGGCAACAAGCGTTACAAACGATAAAATAAACGACGTTATTGACCATAGCAGCCCATAAAGCAGTTTCGTGAGTCTTGCCGCTGCCATGTGTTGCAACCAGCATGGGATCTGATGGCTGAAGGATCTGTCACACCATATACTGCACAGCTCATACCTAGAGGTTTTATATCTATTTTTATAGAATTACTTGAATTTCAGCGATACATGACAAACATCTGTTTCAGATTCGATTTTGACGGTTATGTGTCGTTTTTTATCATGTTGAGTATATGCTGTGTAAGCGATAACTGTGTCCCTTGCCTTTAAGGTGTTTTAGGGTATTTTTGAGTGCTTACATAGTATTCCCAGAAATTATTGAGAAGGTTGTTCCGGCAAATATCTAATACATGTATTTAAACTATAGACGTTTTACTTAAATGAATATGTTGAGATATGATTCTCTTACAGTCTTTTCAGTACTTTGTGAGACGTCCTTGTCCTGCAATACACGACTAAATGCGCTTAGGTACACTACCGATCAAAGTTTGTAGGAAATCGTGTGACAGCGTATCCCAATATTCGACCACTTCCTTCTTCATATCCTCAATATTTCTAAGTCCTTTTTGGTTTATTCTGTTCTTTATTAGTCCCCACACATTCTCAATATGGTGAAGATCTGGGTTGTAGCTGGGCCAGTCTAAAACTTGAACATTTTCATCCGACAACCACTGTTTTTGTGTAACCCGCAGTATGTTTTGGGTCGTTGTCATGCTGGAAAATCCAACTCGTAGTCCCCATGACTGTATTTGGGTGGGCAGAGCTAGGACTACTATATCATAACGCAGACTTACGTAGTCACAGGATGTCTCTTCCTGTTATGAGTGAGTGAGTGAGTTGGGTTTAACTCCGCCTTCAGCAATATTCCTACATCAATATGGAACACCAGAAATGGGTTTCACTTATAGTACCCGTGTGGTCGACCATGCATGACTAAACGCCGCGAATACCTGCGAAATTGTGAAGCAATATTCACAAAAATATTTTACTACCGATTCCATACACATACTTTCTGGTTCAGTGACTTCTAATTGCTACCTATCAAACCCATACATGTTTCTAGGTGAACCTGGATCCAGAGCTGGAGTGGTATATGAACACCCAAAAACATTCAGCAAGTGAACGACATGTTGGGCAAGCTTTTTTATGGTTTTATAGGTTTAAATTAACGAATAGAGTGACACACATTTTTTATGAGAAGAGATGCTTTTCAAAAGATAATGTTTCTTTAAATTCTTTGTAGCAGAAACCCTTTGAACTTTCTATTACAGAACCGTTCAGATTTTGCAGATATTGATCTCAGATACATTTCAAATTTTGCTATACAGTTCTCTTTGTGACTAGTGCGGTTTTAGGAAGTTCTCAATGTCTATTAACATCACTTCAGTCATGTGCTGATAGCATTCAATAAACAGATGGAAGTAACAAGTTTAACCATTCGAAAACAGCTTTTGTTAAATTTCCAGCAACAAAGTTATTGTTATTGTGAATACCTCAACAGGTTAGTTTGTGGTTGCTGTGAAAGAAAACCCAAATAATGCAAACTATTATCGTCTATCTTTAGACGTCATTTCTGTATATTTAAACATAATTATCCCAGTATTGTTAAGGGAGGTTCATGTAACAACTTTCTTTCTTACAGTAGACATAATGGGAAACAGTTTGACTGAACCGCCAAGGGACATTTATAATCGCTTGGTAGTATGTCGAGTGACTTGTTAGGGGCCAGTAAACATGGAATAAACCATTGTGTTTACTTATGATGATCGGACGTGATCGGGTGGTCAGGCTTGCTGACCTGGTTGTCAGCGTATCCCAATTGGGTAGATCGATGCTCATTCTGTTGTTCACTGGATTGTCTGGTCCAGACTCGATTATTTAGAGACCGCCGCCATATAGCTGGAATATTGCTGAGTGCGGTGTTAAACCACAAACAAAGCTCATGATCTGATCAAGGTTTGGTATGATGTTATGACGTTATATTCCTGATAACAGCATAAAACCCACTCACTAACTCATTTAATCACCTATCCACTCTCCGTCCCTCAATCACTCAGCCACTCACTCACTTAGGTGCAATTTCATAGTCTTCATCAAAGGGTACACTGAAAATTCGCCGTCAATATGACAATCAATATGCTGACTCACGGCGGCAGCGTCTGAAGCCAGTTCTCCCTACATTGTTTTGTCTTTTATTAAATGTTCAATACCACAGTCGTATTAATTTCTAAAGACGAAAATGTAGGCGATAACATGCGGTATATGTTGTAGTTACGTACAAACGGGGAATTCCGTAAAGAATATCTTACATAAAGAAGATGCATTATGAAGAATGCAGCATTATCAAAACGTTTTTCATTTACATCACTGAGCGCAAGTTTGTCTTTCCGAGCATAATGATTTAATTGTGTCTCCCTGTAAAACAAACATTTAGCTTAATAGACTGATGTTAGAATCGATTTCACTCAACAATAGTGCCTATGTAATACGGACCGTTGACTACTGCTTGCAGACTCACCACATACGATAAATTAAACATTTGAAACCGTTACATTAGAATCTTCAAGGGGACGATTGATTTTCAACACGTGACTTCTCAAGGATACCTTAGCTCACCTGATCTTTAGATAAGGTGAGCTAAAACCTTTTCCTTGCGACGTTTTGCGTGCTGACCTCCCCACCGTAACTTGCCAGTTGGCGTTGGTTGTGCTTTAGAGGAATGTTCATATTGATGTGTCGCGTTTACATATTTCTTTCACCGAATCGCATTTTCCTTTTCTGAAAGTGAAATATCATCCTGATTTGTTTTATAGGACTATTTAGCTGGAATATTTCCTATTTCATAACTCTGAGTTATGTTAACCGACAGTATCCAATATCACGACATGTAAGTAAGTACTTCAGAGGTTATTAATATCTGGAGTCAAGTATATCCTAAATTTCGGGATAAAATACCTTTATATATTAAATATTAGTGATGAGAAACTATAATATTTGTCCCAATAAAACAATTATGCAGTCTCGCTGTCATTTAATGTCCAAAAACATACTGATCCTATCAATTCACCCGCATAGTTGACATGTTTCCTCGTAATACAAAGTAAAGCAAGTATCCTCCATGCCATATTATACCGATAAATCCGTGGAACAGACTGATACCCGGTATTCCATGCTTATCGTAAAAACCAGCATATTAACATGTGGTGGTTACAGAATATTACGTAGCCGACAGTGTTTCAACTTTTCCCCCGTGAGGTTCAATGCCCAGACTATCAACCACTGGTTTGTCTGGTCCAGATTAACAGGTGCTCGTGATATACGCGGAATATTGAATACTGCGGCGTAAAGTAACATTCACTTCACGTATTGTATTATTTTTTTTAAGTATATTGAATAACATTGCCGAAATTAGGCTGCTCTATATATTGTTACACCGGGGCGGTGGGGCACGTAGCCTAGTCTATGGGGTAGCCTAGTGGTTAAAGCGTTGGCTCGTCACGCCGAAGGCCCGGGTTCGATTCCCCACATGGGCACAATGTGTTAAGCCCATTTCTGGTGTCCCCCGCCGTGATATTGCTGGAATATTGCTAAAAGCGGCGTAAAACTAAACTCACTCACTCACACTCAAATCTATTAAGGATATCTGCAGTGTTTCGGCCATACGCACACTACGTTTGTGATTTGTAAGTCACATTCAGAACTGTTTTCAAAATATTTTGTTATTTTGTTCGGGGAAATAATCCCAATAATACGAGTGTGTATGT